AGGTAAACGGCGTTTCTGTGCGCTGCTCTGGTTCGCCAGAAGCAGCTTAGTCATGCTGGACACATGACCCGGAAGCTGTACGCAGGCTCCCACGGTCAGTAAAGCAAGATGAGCACCGCAACCCCTGAGTCATCCGCGACTGGACCTAACAGTCAGTGGTCCCTTTACCTTTATTTGGTCTACTGCCTCTAGCACTTTTTACTAACTTATTCCAAATGGAACTTTGCCACATCATAGAAGCATTAGCCATGTCAGACCAATGGTCCATGTAACTTTTTGTTTTGTTCTTCAAATGATGCATAGTAAGGTACTGCTTGAGCTTTTGCAAGCAGGCATGATAGAGCCACCAATCCTCCTTCGTTAGGTCCCACCACCCAGTGTTTACATGCGTAGTGTCTGTGTAGTGTACCTTTTTCAAAGATGCTTAATAGCAGAGGCAGATTGACCATCATTTGGAGCAAGAAATCCATTGTATTTGGTGCAGTCCCAAGATGATATTTATTCATCTTCGGGTTTTTCAGTTTATTCTGGCAGATCTATTGTACTGCTATTGTTAGAGTCATATTTTAATTTTTAATTATTTCTAATAAATGCCAGTACAAAACCTGGAGCCATATGTAACTGAATTGGTTTCCTTTCTACTGAACAATTCTATAGTTGGAATTAGGAGAATTATACAGAAATATTTGTTTTTCATTGGATATTGGATATATTAAATTAACTATATTGCTTTGGAATTACGGCCAGAATGGGCTTCATAAATTTTCTGATCTTAACCTCCTTGGGGTCAATAATTATAAATGGACTCATGGTCTTAAGTAGTTGTTAAGTTGAATGCACATTTTTCATTTTTCCATGGTTGACACTTTTTTACCACCACTTCATTCTCATAAGCTAAAACGCTGTTTAGTGGACAAACCTATCATGCCATTAACCAGTGTATGTTGCAATCTCCAGTCCCATACATTATATGATCATCATGAAATAATATGTTTGCGTTGCAATGCATGCCTCATGTACATAAACTTGCAGTTGGTAGCTGTGCCCTTGTATTGTCTCATGCACTTCATATTTCCTACTGTTTCGAGCTTTGCTGTTTCAGCAAATTAATTTGGACACAGTGATACATAACATGTAGCATGTAGCATGTAACATGTAGCATGTGAGGTTTCATTAAATGGATCTACTCAGCGAGCATATTGGACAAACTGGTTATGAAGTACATGTTCTTTCCCCCCCAAGTCTCCTTCCCTACAATATCACTGGGTTTTTTGTATATCAGTTATGTGATGCATGTTGTTGTTGTTGTTGTTGTTGTTGTTGTTGTTGTTCTGCCCTATACCCAGAGGTCTCAGGGTGGTTCACAGGGTAGTTCACGGAATAAAATCAAAATACAAAGCCACAAAATATGTAATCAAAATAAAAACAACAACAACCCAATCCCCCCAACCCCCCTCCGCTTGATTATCTATTTAGCTATCAGTTCTATAGTTCAGATCCTAAAAATTGTTGATGCAATTTAATGGTATCAATATCTTGGTTCGCAATATTCATATAAATTAGATTTATATATAAGTTAGATTAAATATGGTTAATCATCTAGCTTTCTCAGATATTGAATATCTTTAATATCTTCCTTGATCACTCCAAAAAATCTTTCTGCAGAGCGTATAAATGAATGAGACTGAGATCACTGAATTTGTCCTCATTGGCTTTTCTGGACATTCCAAAACAAAGATAGGATTGGCGGCTGTAATGACCATCATCTACTTAGGAAACATAATCGGAAATGGGCTCATTCTGTTTGTAGTCATAGCTGATCCTCGGCTCCATAATCCAATGTACTTCTTCCTTTGTAATCTGTCCATCATTGATATCTGTCTTTGTACATCTTCAGTTCCACAATCTATTGCCAACTGTTTGGTGGACAGACCCGTCATGTCTTTTGCTAAATGTTACATTCAGATGTACACTGGTATATACCTTGGATCAACAGAATGTTTCTTGTTGGCAGTCATGGCTTATGACCGGTATGTTGCCATCTCCAATCCACTCCGTTATATGCTTATCATGAACTGGAAAGTTTGCATTGTTTTGGCTATTGTATCGTGGACAATAGCCTTCTTACTTGCTATTGTTCCCTGTCTTGCAAATCCTGCCCACTTCTGTGGACATAATGAGGTGGATCATTTTGCATGTGAGCTCACAGCCATCATGAAATTAATTTGTTCTGACAAGGCTGTGGGACAACTGACAATGTACTTCACCAGCACCTGCACAGTCCTTTTCCCCTTCTGTTTCATCCTCTTTTCTTATGCACGTATCCTTGTGGCCATTTTGAGAATCCATTCATCTGCAAGCAGACTGAAAGCTTTTTCTACTTGTGGATCTCACCTAGTTGTAGTGCTGGTGTTCTTTGGAAATTCTATAATCACATATATCAAACCTCAATCTAAGGACAGTCATACTATTGATAAAATTATTTATATATTTAATGCAGCACTGATACCCATGTTAAACCCTTTAATCTACACACTGAGAAACCAGGATGTGTTAGGAGGGCTCAAAAGGCTGGTGGAGAAGAAACTGCAGTCATAGTGTTGATTGAATCTAGTGTGTTTAGACATTATTTTAAACTGTCATGACACTTATATTTTCAGTTTTCTTTGGGTGAAAGGGAGGGGGTAATGGAGCTGCATTAATATTTTTCTAAACAGAGTGAATAATATTGATAATAATAGAAATAGAAACAAAAAGGTTTCATTTATATAACATATCCACTGTATATACTCAATTACTCAATCCAGTGGTTCTATAAATCAGATCTGTGTGCTATCCTTCTACAAGGATTTAATCTGATATATCCTGAGAGTAGAATATATTCAAATAATGAACAAATTCTCTACAGCAAATTAAGCTCTGGGGAGAATGCATAATATGAACCTACGAGGACTTTAAAAAGAAAAATGCATTCCAATACATAGTGATGAGAAAAATGCTTTACCCATGAGGATATCCTCATGGGGAAAGCATTTCTTCTAGCCAATTTTATCTGTGCAAAAGCACTTACAGAACCTGAATTAAGCAGCCCATAGGCAGAGCTTTTTTTCAGCTGGAACTCACCAGACCCCAGTTCCAGCACCTCTCAGGTGGGTACCATTGCCATTGTGTGCTGAGGTCCCCAAAACACCCCTACCCCAATAACTCACACATCACACATAATTTTTGTTTAAGGTTTTTGGCATAATTTTGGCCACAACTTTATTAAAATACAAATTGTGAGTGGTTGCTTAGGCATTGGTTATGACTATCTGTCCCCCCCGCCTTGGGGGACAGCACTGACTCCCGGATTCCAGCGAGAGCCAGTGTGGAGGAACAAGATCAGGGATAACTGGAGCTGCGACACAGACCCTCAGCTTCTCCCCGCATGCTCCCAGGAGCTTACGCGGCCCGCACCTGATTCCAGGGGTTTGGACGAGAGGATGGTAAGCCCCTGAATTCCTTTAATGGAATTCCCGTGCAGCAGCAGCATTGGAGGGGCAGGCACAGCCAATCCATACCCCTCCACCAACCAATTTAACCAATGCCTAACCGCCAACCTTACAAGTTGTGACGATTTGCTACGCAGTAGGCAAAAACCAATTGGCACACACTAATCAGCCAAAAGGAAAAATTCCTACCAGGCCCCCGGACCAATGCGGACGACCCCATGACAGGCATAGCAAGGTCAAAGCACAAGCCCAATCAAGGGAGGGAGGGCGGGTGATCCGGTGCCCACAGCGAAAGAGAAAGGAACATGCTGTGAGCCTTGTTTAAATAACCTCTGTTCCCACCCCTAAATTGGCAACATCAAATTTACCCCAGTAACACCAACCACCAATCCGATCCAAGCCCCTTCAATCTATCCTGCCTGGCAACCATGGGGTGCTTTGCTCGACCCCATCTGCAACATGTGCTCTCCTTTAAAGAGAACACACTTTCTAGGAGAACAAGGAAGGTGTTCATGCTGAGTTCCGGCACCTCTTTTTCTATTTTTTTTTTTAATGGCACTGCCCTTGGGCATGGCTTTATCAATATACCAGCAGTGATTCAATTCAAAACCCAGCAGTCAGAAATCACCTGGATGTACAGGAGAGCAGGCAGAAAGCAGATTCAGTGTCACATTTTGCCAAAGGTGTGGCAGGATCTGATCAACTTCATTGTGATACAAAAAGGCATACCACACTGATCATAATTTATGTGGGATTACATCATTCACAGACACACCCGCCCCCTGCCTAGGATATGACAGATTGTGAATTAACTTGCCCAGAGCCTTTTTGGGTATGATGCCCAAAGTATGCACCTGAAACTCCCCTAGGGGTGGGTCCAGGCAGGGGTCAGAAATCCTCTCTGTGGCTCTCTCTCTTTCTGCAGCAATGTCAGGATGCTCCAAGAATAAACTCTGGTTGGAAGCCTCATGGCAACTGTGCTCACTCATCACTGGGATCCTCAAACCTTGGGCGAAACCGTCCAAGATATATTGAGTGGCTTGATGGTTCGCATAAAGTTAGCACAGAGGGTATACAGCCACTAACTTGATAAGTTCTGAAAGACTTACATTGGCTCCAAGTACGTTTCTGAGCACAATTCAAAAGTGTTGACACTGACTTTTAAAGCCCTAAATGGCCTTGGTTCAGTATACCTGAAGGAGCATCTCCACCCCCATCATACAGCCTAGACACTGAGATCCAGCTCTGAGAGCCTTCTGGCGGTTCCGTCCCTGCAAGAAGTGAGGTTACAGGAAATAATGCAGAGGGCCTTTTGGTAGTGGTGCCCACCCTGTGGAAAGCCCTGCAATCAGATGTCAAGGAAATACACAACTATCTTACTTTTAAAATACATCTGAAGGCAGCCCTGTTTAGGGAAGTTTTTGATGTTTGATTACAGGTAGGTAGCCATGTTGGTCTGCCGTAGTCGAAACAAAATAAAAAAAATCCCTTCCAGTAGCACCTTAGAGACCAACTAAGTTTGTTATTGGTATGAGCTTTCGTGTACATGTACACTTCTTCAAATTATGAATTCTTCAGATGTATCTGAAGAAGTGTGAATGTACACAAAAGCTCATACCAATAACAATCTTAGTTGGTCTCTAAGGTGCTACTGGAAGGGATTTTTTAATTTAATTTTAACGTTTGATGTTTTATTGTGCTTTTATTTGTTAAATCATTTTTATTAATTTCCCAGTAAAAACATCCAATTAACATATCAAATCATAATCCAATAAAAAGAAAAAAACTAAAATAAAAAGGTCAAATTATCTTACAAATTGTAATTATTACTTTTTCAGGCTTCTCATAGTCTGGACCTTGAAGCATAATTCCAAATCTCAATCCTGCCTCTCGTTGTTGTTTCCATATTTCCACATCTCAATTATAACACTCTAACTTCTTGTCTCTGGCTCTGTGATTCTCTATCATGTCAGAATTCATATATCCTTTCGTCCGTCGAGTATAGCTTTATTTGTGTAATATACTTTTCCAACTGTCTTTTTGCTAGTGCAGCTTCAACTGGCTCCATTCCAATCTGGGCTGTTATCCAACTCTCTGAAGTTTAATGTCGCGGCAACTCCCAAATCATTAATCCTTCCAGTCCAAGCTGTTGTCCAAACCTTCCTTTTGAGATTTAAAAATACAGTACCTTCCACATTATTGAGTTATTCTTCATAATTATTAAGCAGACTGTTTGCTATGTTGCAATATACCAGCCATTTGGCGATCGATCAGCCTTCCTGATTGTTTTAAAAAACAATCTTTCACGATAAAATGGCATGCTGAAATTACATGCCTGGGGAGGCTTGTGGAAACAAAGAAGAAAAGAGTTTTTCAAGAGGTGCCAAAAACAAGACTATGAAGGTGCTTGCCTGCTATTACTGTTCAGACCAGCCTTTCCAACGTGCAATTTAGTGAGAGTGAGCAACAGGGAAGAGACAGAGGTGATGGAACCAGAAAACACAGTTGTGCACTTTTTCTTAAATGACTGCAATTAGATGGTGGTGAATGCTAGGATCCATGTCATCTCAGTATAAATTCTAAAAGTGACCCACTATGCCTCAATAGATATTAATGCAACACTTTAATGAGTTTGATTACTAGCCCTGTTCACATTAGCACACACCCTAATCTGTGAAGATCTTCAAATAAATAAAGGCAAAAATGAAGCTGGCGATTATCCATAGACCATCCTATGGCCTCCTTTGTGAGGATGTTGACTCTCCTTCCATGGATGTTTTTTAAGCCATTTGTCATGGATGCTTTATTTGAGATTCCTGCATCACAGAGGATTGGACTAGATGAACTTCTGGGTTGCTTTCAACTCTATAATTCTATGATTCTATATTTCTGTGTACATTCAGGAATTAAGGCTCTTAAACAAACAATATTGTGAATGCATGGATATTAGAAGCTCCTTTTCAGTGTGTTCATTTGGACTCTAATTACCCTATACACAGCAAAGAAGAACACAAGGAGTTTTTAGCTGGGACAGGAAAAAGCCCATTTAATCCAACATCTTGTTTCCCAAAGAGACTATGGGAGGCTCACCAGCAGGACCTGACCAACACAAGTTTTCCTTCAGATTAAGCATTATGTAGGTCCATATTCCTGCAGAGTGGCGTGAAAGTTTGTATTGTTTAAGAATATTCTTGAGAATGCTGATTCATTCCCCTGGGATTATGCACCAATGGGAGTGAAGAGGGAGAGTATTCATTAAAAATAGCAAGCAACTAAGGAACAAAGTCAAACGAAGTCCTATTGGGTGTTTTGTTTTTGTTTTGTTTTTTTGCTGTTATATGGATGCAAAAGAACAACAACAACAACAAAATAGTTGGATTTTTGTTCTGTGGAACACAAAAGGAGACTTTATTAATGCAAGTATTTATTGTGGGGCTGCACAAGGACAATTCCACACATTTTCAATTATGATGCCATCATGAAAGAGATGCAAAATTCATCCTCTTATACGGTATCTAGTTTTAATTAATTTTCTTCTTCTTATTATTATTTTGAAATCTCATAAAATATTAAGTTGAATTAGTTTTCCTAGTTGCTATTCAAACAACTTTATATTTATCTCATTGTTCCACATACTGATTGGATGCAATTCCCATGTAATTTAAAGAATGCTGCTTCTTGATTTAATAACAAATGCAGACACAGGACATCCACAGAGCCTTAAAGGGCAAAAGCATTTAAAGGTATTGTTGTGTTTTCATTTCATTCTTTATTTCTCTTGCCAAATTTATCCAGCTGAAAGATGCTGTGCTCTATTTTGACAAACTGTGAGTATTCAAACTGCAATCAGATGAAGCAAAATCGCTTGGATCTAGATTTGCTTTTAGGCAATTCACATATTGCAGTTTCTACGGTATATAAAGTGAAATACTTGAGTTAATATTTCTGAGAAAGACCCAGTAGGGATGTATGTGTTTGTTTTGCAGTGGCAGGTGTCCAGAGAGTGAGAGAGATTCTCAGCAGAGTTTTAAAGGTTTTTCTTGAAGGTATTCAAAACTAAATGACAAAAAATAAGCACGTTTCAATGCTGCTATTTTATACTTTATAAAATTCACGTCTGCCCTGATAAAATAGTCTTTCAACTGAAATGCTATATTGAATATTATGCCAGCTTCACAAATGACATTGAAGTGTTGTTGCTGTTTTTCAGTTATTCCTAAAGTGGAATGTGAGGTTTTCCAATGCACAGCAATACAAACTTAAGTTATCATGAATAAAATTCTTAACAGCTCTAGATGTACTGGTTCATTTAAAAAAAAAAATCATGTAAAACATATTTCCCAAATAAGTGGGCATAACTATCAAATATGCATTAAAGCTGTCCTAACATATTCACATCTCCAACATTATTATTAATGTCATTTGGATGTATCTCATTTAACATAGGTGGAGAAAGATATATTGTTTGTAAGGTGAGTTTTAGTTCAGTTGTTTCATCACCATGGACATGTTTCAACATAGACTGCAATCCTATATCCACTCACCTTAGAGTAGCTCCAGCCAAACTGAATGGAGCTTACTTCTAAGTAGATATGCCCAGGGATGTGCTTTGAATCACTTAATGATTTAGTATAATTTATATTCCGAACCTGCAACAAAAAGCTATATTTCCAAGGTGCCCCAACAACCAAAGCTATTTCATAAATAAAGATAAAAAGTTTACTGGAAAATGGTTCTTTTTGTAAATTAATGGAATACTAAAATCATAGCTAAGCAACATTCATTTATTTATTTTCTTAAGAAAAGGTAAATAATTAATACTTTATAATAATTTTATTTTAACTATATTTACATCTTTATTAATCTTGTCTATAAATTTGAGTAAGTTTTTTCGTTTTTCGTTTACCAAAAATGCATTTTTGTTTTTGTTTTTTATATAACACATTTATAAACTTAAAAAGCCCTAAACAAATACATTTTGGATTACATTTTATTGCTTTCAAATTATTGTTTTTCATAATTTAATCAATAATCTCCTACACTCACTTGAATAAAAAGAATGCATGCAAATAATTATACAATGTGAATTATTTTTCCTATGATACTTGAAGAGAAGTACTGTATTTTTTGCTCTATAAGACTCACTTTTTCCCTCCTAAAAAGTAAGGGGAAATGTGTGTGGGTCTTATGGAGCGAATGCAGGCTGCGCAACTATCCCAGAAACCAGAACAGCAAGAGGGATTTCTGCTTTCACTGCGCAGCGTTCCCTCTTGCTGTTCTGGCTTCTGAGATCCAGAATATTTTTTTTCTTGTTTTCCTCCTCCAAAAACTAGGTGCGCCTTGTGGTCTGGTGCGTCTTATAGAGCGAAAAATATGGTAATATTTTCACGCTAACGTTCTGATTAAATAAAATAAATAATGCATCATAAGAAAAAGTCATCCTCCCCTCTGACTGAAAGGCTTACTTGCATAACATTTTTGTAATTTGACCGTGGCCTTAATTTAGATTAATTCCTTTCTCTATGTCTTTGCAGATAATACTGAATTCAGGATATGGAAGAGGAAAATGAGACGACAGTGACTGAGTTTGTCCTTATCGGCTATTCTGGTAGACCAAAGACAAGGATAGGATTACTCGTTTTCATAACTGTTGTGTATTCTATAACAGTGGTGGGAAATGGCCTCATTATCTTGGTGATTGCAGGTGATCCTCGACTGCACAACCCCATGTACTTTTTCCTCAGTAACCTTTCCCTCCTTGACATTGTATATTCAACATCTTCAGTCCCACAGTCCATTGCAAACCTTCTGGTAGACAAGCCCACCATGTCCTATACAATGTGTTACTTGCAAATGAGCATTAGTGTTGGCTTGGGTGTGACTGAATGCTTCCTTTTGGCCATCATGGCTTATGATCGGTATATAGCCATTTCCAGTCCACTACATTACACACTAATAATGAGCAGGAAGTTTTGTATTCAGTTAGCAGCTGGGACATGGACAAGTGGCATATTCTTGGGGGTAATCCCGATTTATACCATGCCAGCTCGCTTTTGTAAACAAAATGTGATTGACCATTTGACGTGTGAACTCAAAGCAGTTTTGAAGTTGGTTTGCTCAGATACTTCCATGAACCAACTGGTGATGTTCTTAACTGGCGTTCTTACCTTGCTTGCCCCCTTTGCCTTTATCATTTTCTCATATTTGCGTATTGTTGTGGCAATTCTGAGAATTCATTCATCAGGTGGGAGACTGAAGGCTTTCTCCACATGTGCATCCCACTTGACAGTAGTAACAATCTTCTATGGCACTGCTATATTTTCTTATCTCCGACCACAAACTAAAAGTACCCATGAATTAGACAAGATAATTTCTGCCTTCTATGGAATTGTGACTCCCATGTTAAATCCACTCATATATACACTCAGGAATCAGGAAGTAAAAGGAGCATTAAAAAGACTTGTGGGAAGAAAAGAGAAATAATAATTAAAAAATGAGCATAGAGATATAGTGAACAGAATTAAGTTCTCATAGGTGCTGCTACTTTTGAACAAGCCTTTATCCACTGGTATGTTCTACTTGATTGTGATAAAAAAAAATTCAATGGCACCACTATATTCTATTATTTTCTACCC